TAAAACTCGCAAAATATACTCCGCTACCAAAGTCATTTTAGAATTCGAGTGAAACAAACACCGAACAAATTAGTTCAAATTAATGACAGAATTTTTCGTTTTTGCAACCTTTGCTAAGTATAAATATAGATATATCTGTTACATCCCAGACCCTTTACGCAGTTTTTCAACTCCTCCGTGGCTTTTACCATATTCACTGAAGCTCTTTGCATTTTTCCGCCTCGTATTTCACGCCTTGAAGTTACGACACAAAACGTCTTCGGCAAGTCGTCGGGCTTCTTCGGAATGGAACGTCGCGTCAGGGATCATTTTAAAGGAGTTTTCCAGGAACGGATTTGACGTGTTGCCATATTTTTCGTCTTCCATGGGTGTAAGCCGGGATAGAGGGTGTTTAAGTCGTCAGCATTCGGCGGCGCGAAATCAGGCTTTCCGGTTTTTTTCAGTACTCCTCGTAAGGGTATCTCTATAGACGTGCTTACAGAGCTTTTCATTGCTAATCAATAGTTCTGCATAAGCCGTTTTGCCCCATCCTCGGGCAATATGCACACCTAATAAGAGGCATTGCTAGATTTTCCAAAAAAGTACCGCTTCTGAAAGACAAGGACATTCGTTTCTGGTCGTCAATTAGCTGAAAAAACAAGCCTCTCGTTTGATTCGCTCAAATGCTCAGTTTCGTGGTAAAAACAACAATGAGTGAGTTTAATTGAAGCTAAATAAATGAGCCATTTGTTCGCTAAGTGGCTTTCATTAGAATGGCCACACTTAGTTTAGGCTGACTTATCCCTAGACTCGAAAGTTAGAGCTCCCTTTTTGACAGCCAAATAAACAATTTGAAAGCAAAGTCCCAGTGGCTCCTAAGTGTTTATCAGGGTGTTCTTACTGTCATTCAGACTCTTATCGACTCTAAGCTTGTAATAAGAAGTTAACGAAGTTACTAATAGCCTCCTTGTTCTGTCTAAAAAATCTGAGACTAGAAGACTGTACTCAAATTCCGCTCTGCTTCGCGATCGTTCCGCTAAAAGCTTCATTTCTTACCAAAGTCTGGCTAGGAAGTGTTCACATGATTATGAGCTTGCGGACTGAAGACTTTAATTCTCTAAATAGTCTATATTGTGCGTGAAAGAGAGAGTCATCGTTAATCAAATTTAGTAATGCGATTCCAACGATCATCTTGAATTTATAATTATAAGAAAGTTTGTTTTAGCCAATTTTTCGTTCTCCAACAAAAAGATAATCTCCTTGTCCTTAATTTAAAAGCTTTCATTCTGAGGGGATTACAACGGCTCATTTTGCGTGTTTTTTCTGGAAAAATAATTTCGAGATAAGCTTTATATTTTTATACTGTGAACAGATATAAATCAAGGACAATTCTGCGCGGAAAATAAGTCGCTGAAACATAAGATATCAACCTTTCGAAAAGCAAAAAAGACACCGGTATCACGACATCATAATGGGATTTTATGGCAAGGCATTTGATAATGGTTTGCAGGCTAAGGCGGCAGGTTCCAAGCCTATCTTATTTCCAGCCAATCAGAATTTAGGGCGTTCCAGACGTTGTATTATTTCCATGCGCTCGTCCCTTTCGATCGCTCACCATCACGTTGTTCACATCGCTTGTTCGGTTACGTTTCGTTTGAACCAATTTTCTGCATTTTCCACCACCTCCCCTTCCGCCTGCCTGCGAATTAATTTCTAGTTTGTTTCTCTTTATTGTCTTAGTGGGAGGCAGTTTTTTCCCCCACCTTTGCTGAGAGATATTAGTTTATTATATATTGGTAGATCTTGAAAATAAAGTTCGTCACCTTTGGTGGCCAAATTTTCTTCAACCTAATCCGACGCTGTGTTTACCTTCTCAGCAAACAAGTGCGCCGCCACGCAGAGCTCTTGGTCACGCAAAGTTTCCAGCGTCCTTATCGTAAAAATGCCTTGATATAAAAGGAACAGGAGTTTATTAAACCACGTTACCNACGACATCATAATGGGATTTTATGGCAAGGCATTTGATAATGGTTTGCAGGCTAAGGCGGCAGGTTCCAAGCCTATCTTATTTCCAGCCAATCAGAATTTAGGGCGTTCCAGACGTTGTATTATTTCCATGCGCTCGTCCCTTTCGATCGCTCACCATCACGTTGTTCACATCGCTTGTTCGGTTACGTTTCGTTTGAACCAATTTTCTGCATTTTCCACCACCTCCCCTTCCGCCTGCCTGCGAATTAATTTCTAGTTTGTTTCTCTTTATTGTCTTAGTGGGAGGCAGTTTTTTCCCCCACCTTTGCTGAGAGATATTAGTTTATTATATATTGGTAGATCTTGAAAATAAAGTTCGTCACCTTTGGTGGCCAAATTTTCTTCAACCTAATCCGACGCTGTGTTTACCTTCTCAGCAAACAAGTGCGCCGCCACGCAGAGCTCTTGGTCACGCAAAGTTTCCAGCGTCCTTATCGTAAAAATGCCTTGATATAAAAGGAACAGGAGTTTATTAAACCACGTTACCCTACGATAAGAGCGAGCATGTTCTTGTTGACAAAATATTTTGCGTCCCCTTCATGTGAACAACCAAAAAAACCAACACGTAAATAAAGAAGCTTAAGACGGTGCACTTTATTGGTAAGAAAAGTCATTAAGAATACATGTATCATAAAAAAAATAATGAAAATACGAGAACACCACAGCCGGACACGTAAACCCCGAAAAACCAATTTTGGCAAAAATGGGGACCGTGTACCCCCAACCACTGCTATGGTGCTGCCTTTGGGGTTTTAAGGCCTGCTAGCTTATATAAATACGAGAAAATATCAAACTTTAAGTTAACAGAAATAACCTCTTAGCTTAGCTAGGCTAAAAGAAAGGAAAAAACCGTTTGCTCGCTGAGTTGTTGAGTCGGCAGGGCTGACCCCAGAGGAGCGCGCGCGACTTAATCATCTCACTACTGTCGCCGTTTCAAAGTGCGCAAACAATGATATCAAAGCGCTTTATCAGGGTATTAACCTGAAGATCTGTTTTTGTGCCTGCGGAACTGAATCAAATTATGTTCATTGAACCAACGTAAAGGTTTGAAAGCTAGATAGCAGATAGCCACTATAACGTTTTGTTATTTTTATTTTTTGTTCAGGCAAATTCAGAGCAGCCAAAACATCTCCTTGGAACCTCTAAAAATCTTCCTGCATTATAAGGTTATTGCTGGTTATGTTACCTGTTAAGCTATGGAATCAGCGAAATCAGTGGCATTAATTAAGAAGAACTCAGAAGTTCCAAGTTACGCTGTTACGTTCGTGGCCGAATTGATAAATTCTACATCACTCTAAAAAATCTTGCCAATTGTAAAATAGCTTTCTCACTTTACATCATGGCTCTCACACTATTCGTTACATATTGCCCTTTTTTAATTATTCCATGTTCATCTAACACGAAACCAATACTGATAAGTACAAATAATCTACGGATTTTTATTATTGCTTTTGCTCTAACAGCCTTTTAAGAATACCAAACCCAATTCATGAACATTTATTTACTATCTTGCTTTCTAGTTCGTAAAATCCTAAACAATTATTGTTACTACGAGGAAGTAGTGCTGAAAAAGTCTTATTTCCATGGTGACACCAAACACATTTTCTTTATTTTCATAAATGCTTTGGAAGAGTTCAGTTCGTACAGACCAGGGCGGATAAAGGTTGGGCGGTGAAACGAGCGCTCCGCTCTTCATTTAATGTGTGATGCGGAGTAGGACTGGCACGAGCGCTCTTTCCGCGCTTCCGGTGCGCTTGAAGGCCGGCGAAATTTTCCACCCCCCCCCCCCCGGGCAGGGATGACAGATTTTGCTCATTTAAACGATTACATCTTGCTGGCAAATACGCTTTTGTCATGACACATCAGAGGATTTGATCGATCATTTATTTATAAAATCACACAGGGCCGTTTCCTGTTCGATCGGCAATCTTGGACACAAAATCACGTTTTCCCAATGTGGCACTAACGTGGCTTAAATCATTGCCGTAAAGTGCGGACTACCAATATACAAAAGACAACCTACCTAAATGTCCACCGATATCATTCCTTAAGTTCGCCGTAAGTTCTGTCTAAATCGCCTCGAAAACAGCCCAGACATAAGCGTTTTAAAAGATTCAGCACCAGCATTTTGCCTCATAAATTTATCACTAGAAGGTGTCCCCCACGGCGTTACTCCTTTATATTAAGAAAAGCCTTTTCTACAAGCGAACATTAAAGGCGGGAACAACTTTTAAGTTGTAGTCGGAGTAGTTGCCAACATACGCGTAATCAGTCTTAAAGCATGGCTTTGCAAAAAAAAAGACCTCGCGGGGGTCCATGATTACCGAAGCTTTATACGGGGAGGTCTAACCCTTTACCCTTTTATATACTATTTTGGACAGAAAAGGTACCCACTTTTTATAACTTGAATTGACTCCTACTAACAAATGGCACCTATTTCACATACCTAGTTTAGAACAATGCATCTCTTTTACTATGAATAAATCACTAAACCAGAAATTTTCTGGTCTCTTTCATATCCCTTAAAATGAGCCTGGAAGCCCATTTTGGTATCTTTTACAGACCGAAATGAAAGATCTCCCTACCCTTTCACATCCCTCAACTAATGAAATCCCTGCATGGCATATACCGAAGGCCTAATAAAGGTACCCCTTTTGGACGGAGACTCTCCGTATAGGCCATTCTAGGGAGTACCCCCCCCCCCCTGCCCCAGGGTCAGGGGGAAAGCCACACAGTAATTCGACCTAAACTTCCTTTTTAACTACGACCACCGCAACTGCGTACTGGAAGTTGTTTCAACTGTTTTATTGCAAGTCTTTTTTTACTGACTTTGCCCCTCTGAGCACTACATTTTACAAACTGGGTCTATTAGAATGGATGCGAAGAAGCGTCCGATCGGCAACACTCTAGCGTGTTCAGTAGTTGTGTTCTCTTTTGCTCTCTGTTTCGTGACATTGATCCATGTCGAGATCGAGCTTCACGCTCATCGAAACATGCTTCAAGTCTTGACTCTACAGAGAGAAAAAAGTATCCATTCACGACGCACTGTGAACGATGAATTGATTACTTCTGCGCTGCGTAGTGACAATGGCAAAGGTCAGTGCTTTTTTTAATTGTTCCCAGATTTTTGGCAAAATTAGAATTGTTCCTTTTGCAAGGAACCTTTATTTCGTAACAATGCCCTATTTCGTTACATTAAGAAACTAAGCCGTTATTTATTGACGCTAAAAGGAACTAAAAAGGTCAGTTTCCTAATTGTATCTTATCAGAAAAAGCATTCTGTCGCATCGGTTTCAGCTGTTGTGGTATCAAAGGGTTGAGAAATAATCTGCGTAAATGTTTAAACATGAGCCGCAGGTTTAATAGCTCAGTACAGTCAGTACTGAAAAAATAATTTTAAAAAGTAGGACAGAAGAGGTAGTTTCACGGAACGATCATGAAAATAACGTGCTGAATTCTCCCTTAGTTGCAGAAAATAACGTTCGTCAAAAACGCAACGCCAAAAATGTAAACAAGAAATCAAACGTCAGTGAAATCGTCAGTCGTGAGTATATCAAAAGAGAAGTTCGGCTAGCGATAAGTAACCTGGCCTGCGTGGTGTATTGCCCGAAGGGAGTCAGGGGAAGACGAGGCAGGCCTGGTCCCCCAGGTAAACACGGGCCAGCTGGGCCTCAGGGACCACAAGGAGCAAGAGGAACTCAAGGAGATCAGGGTCCTCCTGGACCAAAAGGTGATAAGGGCCCTCAAGGACCCAAGGGTGATCCTGGTGAATCCATCTCAGCTCCTTTGATTGTGTCACCTCCGATGTCCATCGTCGTAAACAAAACTGGTATAGCGTCACTGCAGTGTGGGGTCAAAGGAAATCCAGTGCCCCAGGTCACGTGGCTGAAGGAAAATTCCAGTCTTCCCTCCGATAAACGAATCATGCGATCACGTGGTGACCTTGTGATAAGAGATGTGACGTCACAAGACGGAGGAGAGTACACATGTAGGGCAAGAAATATTCTTGGAGTCGTGACTTCATCGGCCACATTGACTGTTCAAGGTAATTACTTTTAATATTAAAATTAATATTAATGTCCCAGTGTACAGGTGAAAAAATCTACAGTAGCTTTGAGATAACAAAGCTTAGCGATTCATGTTCAAACTACAGATAATTCTACTGTCTACTTGAAAAATTTCTCGTAGCAGAGAGTTTCGACATCAAGCCCAAAATATCTTATGTGTATGGAAAGTCTATGAAGTTTCTGCACGTTGTATTTGGCCTGTGTTTTCGGCACGTTCCAATAAGTTACAACTGAGTATCCTGTTCCCACATGTAAACAAGCTGAATACTGTTACATTATTAGAAAAAGTATATATTTACTTAGGATTCTAAAGAACCAAGAATCTCTGACATGATATACGCTTGAGCCTGTTTACATGAACAAAAGTCTTGTACC